CATTGTCATGATTTTGGCATTGTCGGGATTTTGGCCTTGTCAGGATTTTGGCCTTGTCGGGATTTTGGCCTTGTCAGGATTTTGACCTTGTTGGGATTTTGACATTGTCGAAATTTTGACATTGTCAGGATTTTGACCTTGTCGGGATTTTGGCCTTGTCGGGATTTTGACATTGTCTGGATTTTGACATTATCGGAATTTTGACATTGTCTGGATTTTGACATTGTCGAGATTTTGACATTGTTGGGATTTTGACATTGTCGAGATTTTGACATTGTCGGGATTTTGACATTGTCGGGATTTTGACATTGTCGGGATCTTATAGATAGTGTCAAGATTTTGTACTGTCGGGATTTAGTGATGTCGGGATCTTGAAAATAACAGGATTTTGATGTTGGGATTTATGCGTCAGGATTTTAGTATTGTCAGGATTTTGGTGTCGGGATTTTGGGCGTCAGGATTTTAGGTGTCAGGATTTCAAGGTAAAACCCATTGCGCTAGCAATAAATTATAAATAAAAATATTCTAGCGATTATCTAATCCAATTTAAAATATTTTAAAGTTTTTGGTAGAACTTTGATAATGCATTAAAAATTTTTTAAAACTTTAATATATCCTATATAGCAACTAGATTTTCTTATTAAATTTTTACAGTTATATATATAAGATTGAAAAAAAAAATTATATAATTTGGTTTGATTACTAGATTACTAAGATATTTCTGATCAAAGTTCTAGACTTTAATTAGATATGTTAGGCGTAAACTATATCAAAAGTAGTTCACCCACCCATAATACCCATATTTACAAACTGAATTGTTTATTAAATAAAAAAAAAAAAAAAATCCCAAATACCGGAGAAATTATTCACAACAAAATATAGTAGAATAAATTCCAATAATATATGTAGTAGCTAACTTTATGCAGAATAATTGTTTTTCATAATCCCAAGAAAAATGTCATTGCGAAATTTATAGTAAAATGCGTCTAAAGAAAAAATTATGATACAAAAAAGACGACAAATCTATTGCTACGTTGTGAAGGAAATCTTACACTCTATGATATTATAATGATATAAATGCAATATATAAATATAAATGGATGCAGGAAAAGGAATTATATAATTGAATACAAATGTCATGCTATACGTATAAATTATTCATAAATAACAATTTTTAACAATCGAATGGCTAATAATTTATTAAACGTGATCTGTTGTAATTCCCATTTTGCTGTTTTTTGATTAAATCACGATCTGAATTCTCCAAGACTTCAACAATTCCCCGAACAAGAATTACTTTAATCTGTTTATCAATATCATCAGATTTATTCTCCGCTGTATGTTGAGGCATATTGTTTCCATTCAATTGAGTTACCTCCAATTTTTCATATATTCGCGTTAAACACCGATCTAAAAGTATTTTTAATTTATTCACCAATGCAAAAGAACTATTTTCACCAATAAATTGTAACCAATCATCAACGATTAAGAAATTATTTGATTGACTACTTGTTCGAATTTCACCACCGAAGAGTATTGTTGATAATGGATCGATGCGTGTTGTACTTCTAAGAAATACTTGTTGCCCACTAGTCTTAACCTTGGACGAATACGCATAAAGTGTGCCTATAGGCGCAATTAAATTTTCATCAATTTCATTGCCTCGTTTCAAGTTATGGCTATTCTTCATGGTCGCTGCTAATTTTGCTGCTCGCTCTTTATAATTCACAGAAGCTGGATGAATGAAGGTTGCATTTTCGTGTCTAGTTCGAAATGTTTTTTTCGAAGTCTTTAATGCAATGTTAGGATACACTCCAGCACAAATTAATGCACGAAGGAGTGGAATACAATTAGAGTTCAAATTATACTCTGGTGGTCCTAACGCCAAGTAACGATGATGATGATTATGATCCCGTTTAGGGTAATATGTTGGCACAACTCCAGCACGTTCCAGGAGACTTAATAATTGGAGTTTGATTTGTTCAATAGTTTGCAAGCATGGCCTGCTTAATAGGTTATCGGAACAAAATTTATTAGCAGCTTGTAAAGCACCTGATGAATGAATTTCATACCAAGCTTTATAAACATTTAAAACCGCAAAGTGATCACATGCTAATCCTTGTGACCAATAAAATCTAATCTCATCAGCAAGGTCTTTAGCATAAGGCGGAGACAAAAATGGATTCTTTGAAGCCATAGATGCGCCAATTGTTAAAATTGGATCTAGACATTGAAATATGGCACCCAGAAGCACCATCTTACCCAAGCCTGGCTCCATAGGAAGTGTAGCCAGCACCTTCCCTAAAGAAGTTAGATTCTCATAATAATCTAATGCTTGCAAGGACTTCAAATTCTCTAGAGCAGCAAAAAACACTAGCTTGATCTGGAGGTTGAATAGCTTGTGAAAGAACGTCGCCAATCGTTGCCGGAAGACCAAGTGCTTTAATATGCAGACAAATCTCTTGCAAATCAGATCGCAGCATCTCGGGAGTAGAGTAGCCTTCAAGAATTTGATATCGAGCACGTGTCATCATCACATAGTATTCGCCTTTACGAACACGACCGGCTCTGCCCGAACGTTGACGAGAATTAGATTGACTTATCCAGGTAGTAATTAAATTTGTCATTCTTTTTGACTGATCATATCGTTTTTCTTTAACT